AATTGCATTCATTTGGTAGCCGCCGCCGCCGCGCCGTCAACTGACAAAGTTGTCTTTTTCCATTTTTTTTTTTCCAAGAGGAAAATGTTGGTGTGTGGGGGGGGGGAAGTTTGTTGACATACTTTAGTCTCGGCAATGAATGGCAATAATCGTAGGTTAAACCCGGCGGCAGAGCACTTAGAACGTTGAGTAATGATGCGGCCACAAAAATCACGCACTCCCTAATATTGCAAAAACAAAGCTTGTGGGGGGGGATGGGGGATGGGGTGAGGGTTCTCTAAGGATCCGGGTTTCTTAAGTACACATATAAGGACGGACTCAGGACATGTGTGTGTGTGTGACACGTCAGCGGCAGAGTCTCGTGCTCCATTTGCAGGCATTTATATGTGTCAGCGTGTCAGGGCCGTCATCAATCACATTTTGAGTTATTTGTCAGTTGAATAAGGACACTGAGAAAAATATGCGAAATATGTTATTAAATGTATTAAATATTGCAAGTACTTAAAATGATATTTATTATTATTTAATATATTTTATAAGTAGCAGTAGCAGTAATTTTCTAAAAAATAAAGCAGAAAAGTTAGATTTATAATATATATAAAAATATTTTGTCATGTAAATTATATGAAAAATGTTAGTAAAGCTGATTTATTGATATTTAAATTATATAAAAATACATATTAAAGCTTAAAAATATTTTTATTATGATTTTTTTTGAATTAATTTGTGATTTGCAGCTTTGAAAAAGAAATATTTACTTAATGCATATTTATTGCACTCCTAATTTATTTATTATAAATATTTATTAATTGTACAGAATATTTTTATAACTATTTTTATTATTTATTTTATTTATTACTTATTTTATTTATTCTTTTTTTTTATTATATTTATTGCTTTTTTATTATATTTATTATTTATTTTATTTTATTTATTAATTCCTTTTATTATTAATTAATTGTTTATTAAAAGAATCTTTTTATAAATATTTTTATTATTTATTTTTTTATTTAATGTTTATTTTATTTGTTAATGATTTTTATTATTAATTAATTGTTTATTAATGGTATAGAAAATATATATAGATGTTTTTATTATTTATTTATTTTATAATTTTTTTTTTTAATATTTATTTTGTTTATTTTTTTATTATTTATTTTTTTTTCATTTATTAATTCTTTTTATTCTTCGAAATGCACTTGAAAATAATTATAAAAAATTTTTAAAATTATATAAACTATTTCAAGGTAAAGCTCAATTTGTTTAAATAATTTTCCAAATTTCTTGGTCTTACCAAGCTCCCAAAGATTTCTCTCAGTGCCTTCCGTAGCCACTCGCTTGAGTATTTTCGGGTCTGGGGCCCCCCTGACATTTATGACTTGCCACTAAGGAGCAGCCCGCATCTGTTATCCTGCCGGAACTCAGGCTGCACTTCCCATTTTTCGGCCACTTGCAAATGCAGCCAAAAGGACGTGTGCCAACCATTTGTCTTGCTTACCAAAAGGCCCCAGGATAAGGGACCAGGGGAAAGCAGGGAAAAGCTGGGATAATTCGAGGGGACCACAAAGCGATGCCTGGCATCGATTTCAAAAGCCCCAAGACAATCGGGGGGTGGCGGCCTTTGTTAACACTCTATTTTTAGCCAAAAAGAGTAAATTAAAAAATTATGCAAAAATGTTTTACTTTCGGCTCGTTCGCTGGCTTGATGTTTTTGTTTTCGCCTCTCCGGCTATGCTTTTGTTTTTGTTTTTTGTTTTTTGTTTTTTGTTTTTTTGTTTTGCGAAACGGGAACAGAGAAGACAAACACGAGCACAACTAAATAAATAAGCAGGGAATTGTGTAAAAAAGTTTTTTAAAATTTATGCAGATGCACGCACACGCCTTGAAAAAAAAAAGGGGGCAAGGGAGACACACTCTTTGCATATGAAAATGAGTTTTGTTTATACAATTTCTGGCATTGTTTATAATTTCTTTCATTCATTTTTCATGCCAACCATAAATCCAAACCAATTAAGCGGAACTATCAGTAACAGTGGCTGTCAAAATAATAAATACAAGCCCTTCAATTTGATTATAAAAAATTAAAATTGTATTTATTATTTTGCGGAAAATAACAATATGTTGTTTGGTTCCTCTAAAAAAAATACCAATAATTAGCCTAATGATCTGGGCTAGTAATTAAATTCAGTTTTCAGTTTTTCCACGAAGCAGCAGCTCATTACGTGGAGGCATTTCCCCAGCCCCAGCTTCACTCTCATCTAATTTCATTTCCGTGGCGCAATAAGCGGACGTAGTTTTCCAGCATCCTGCAGTTTGTTGGGCTAGGAAATTAAATTGTGAGCACTATCCGGCACTCAGAGAGGACTAGGGAGACCCGGAGAGACCCAAACAGCCGGAGGTGACCCGGCAGGTCCTGGCCATAACCAGGCCTAACATTATTTTATACATTTTTTGGGACTGCCTGGCGTGGGCTTTGTAGTGCCTCAATTTCCGTTTGAACAGAGCAGTTTATAATTATGTGTGGGCACTGGGAAAATCTAGGGAAATTCTAGGGAAAATCTAGGGAAATTCTAGGGAAAATCTAAGGAAATTCCAGAGAAAACTCTAGGCAAACTCCTAGCAAAATAAGTAAACTACTCAGCTTATTCCAAATTATTTAAAATAAATCTCTAAAGTAGTATTTTTTGCCAGTGCAAAGCCTGTGTCCTGTCTCCCTTTTGCTTTTGGGTTAACAGTGTAAACCATGTGTATAAGGCCATGTGACAGCATAACCCTGTTCTGGCCACCAAAAGTGGCAGCATTAAGCAAAGTTCACGGCTCAGTTTGCCGCTTGGAAAATGGAAAATAAAAAGCCTTTTAATTGAGTGAAAGCCGCGCGAATCAATTATTTGCCAGCGGAAAATGTCAGAGTTATTCCAGGTATTTTCCGAAACAGGATTAGTTTGCCTTTTGCTGGCATTTTTAATTGATTTAAATTATAGTTTAAAGTAAAGCAAAAAATAAGCCAAGAAGTCTGTATTTAATAGCACCTATCATCCATATTGTTTACCTTGGGGGGGAAACCCAATGCAAAGTCAGCCACTTGACTGGCTTTATCCTGCGCTCCTTTCTACCTCAACCCTTGCACCAAAAAGTCCTGATTGTGTGTCAGCAGCTGGCTGGTATCACCGAGTTTTTCCTCGCTTTTCCATGGCTTACGTTAAGTGAAACACGAGAAGTTGTGCTCGCCAGGCCACCGCCCTTCCTAGCCAGGCTTAAGGACATGCCCTGGCAGGGCAGTGTCAGTGCAGTGCGTTTCCCACACAAAATGCTATTTTTTAAGCACTGAAATTTAGGGTTTTATAATGGGAATGTAATAAAATATTTAATTTATATATAAAGAATTTTAAAAGATTTTATTTTGAGGTTTTAAAAGGGTTTAAAAGTAAACAAACTTAGAGTTTAAATTGAAACTCAGCCTCGAAAGCAACTCAAACTTTCAACTTAGACCCAGTTTTTTGTATTTTTTTTACATTTTCTTCCTGCCAAGTTCTGTAATTTCTCCCTGTGCACTTTTAGCCAAGAGCTGAGAGTTGCTCTGGGAGTTTACTTTGTTGCCGCCGTCACCTGATGTTGCCTGCTGTGCTGTTGCTGCAATTGTTGGCGCTGCTGCTGCTGCTGCTCGGGGAATCCTTTGGTAACCAACCCGTGGGCCGTCAGCTGTCGGTTCTCCCAGGCGTTCTATTAGCATGGCGGCCCGGCAAAGTGCAAATATGAAAATTACACCCGCCACTTTGTGCCCGAATGCAAATTCTGTCCTGGCACAACACATACTTACACTTACACACACACACACACCGTGTGTCACGCAGGATAATGAAATTAGAAAACATTAGCCCAACTAGCTGGACCTTTAACTGAATTACCGGTGCCACATAAGGGGTTAGGCTAAGCCCTTGGAGCGTGAAATTAAATAATGGCCAGGGGCAAATATCTAATTCCATTTGAAGTGTTTACTAGTGACAGCGTCAGTTTAAATTGCTTTTAAAAATACAAAAATAAAAAGAAAAAGGTTGGAAAAATACATTTTCCGTGTATATATGGGCCACAAATAGGGGGACTTACCGCAATGCCCAGGCAAATAAGTAATTTCTAAAGGGTTTGTCATGGAAATGCCATGGAAAACTCTTTTTAGAGTAGAGTTGAGAGCTCTAAGGTCTAGGGGAAAATATTTTAAAAATATATAAAAATGAAATTGAGTTTAATTATTAAGGAAAATATAAAAAACAAGGCTTGGCAAATAGTTTTGTTACAAAAAATAAAAAAGAAAATATGTTTCTTGGGGTTTTTGAAAGGGATTCCACGTCTCAGGAATTTCTAGATCTCAGGATACCTCTAATTTCTATGCTAAAAAATATAAAATAAATATTTAAATATATAAATAATTAAAAAGTTAATTCAGAAAAAATTAAATAAGCAATAGAAACTACTTTTCTTAAAAAAAATTAAATGAAAAAGTTTACAATTCACAGGAATTCCTAGATCTCAAAAGGGAAACCTCTAATTTCTATGTTAAAAAGTATAAAATAAATATATAAATATACAAATAATTTATAAAATGATTTGATTTTAATGAAATTAGTTCAGAAAAATATAAAAAATCAATAGAAAGTTGTTAAAAGAGTTTCCAAGTCTCAGAAAACCCCGAAATTTCCAAGAGAAACTCCTTTAGACTGAAGTTAGAAGCTCTAAGGTCTTTAAAAAAATATAAATTAAAAATGATAAATATATAAATATAAAAATAATTTGAAAAAAAGCCTTAATTTGTATGAAATTAACTTTATTTTTCAGGAAAATATAAAAAGCAATAGAAAATAGTTTTTGTTAAAAAAAAAAATATTAAAGGCGTTGCTTAGGGTCTTTAAAACAGTTTCTCAATTCCCAGGTCTTCCCAGAACTCAAGAGGTTTCCTCAGTTCTCAAGAGGTTTCCTAGTTCTTAGTGGTCTTCCTTGTTTCCTCCTTAGTCTTTGATGATGCTGCGCCCGTTGCAATGACGCACTCCCCCACCCACAACATTGCCCTTGCAGCTCCACTGGCTGGCCCTCATCCACTGGTTGTTGGGACGCTCGCAGTTCCTCTGCTCGGCCTGGCAGCGGGTCTGCAGAATGCAGCCATTTTGCTTGTTCCTCCAGCAGGTGGCTATCTTGCTGTCCTGGCAGGGCTTACGGCAGTTGCGCAGCCTCTTGCTGCCGGCAGCATTGAGCACACCCTTACGCAGGCGGGGAGCACACTGGCCCACGCCGCTGGAGCCCAGGATATTGCGGCAACGGGTCACACAGGTCTCGCGGATCGGCTCCAGGCCACTGTCCCGTCGGCGGCAGTTCTTCTCGCGGAGGCGGCAGGCACGCAGCTTGGTGCAGGTATTGGTGGCCTTGTTGCGGATGCACACGCTCTTGCCGCCGGAGGACAGCGATTGGCAGCGGCCGGGGCAGGGACGACGGTCGCCATCGGCTTGGGTGGAGGCTATGGCCAGGACGGCGACGAGCAGAAGGATCAGGCTGAGCTTGGACATGTTTCTCGATTTTCTGGCGAGGATTGATTGATGCCATTTGGAGCGGCCAGTTGGGTATTTATAGGTGATTCGGGAGGGGTTGGCCCAGATTTCTTTTCCTGGCTTTTCTAGATTTTCTCTGTTTTTTGTTCGTTGAGGTGAACACCTGTTGGGGGCAGGTGAATGGAAGTGAATGTGAAGTGAATGAGTGAATGAATGAAGGCTTTTGATGATTTTTCAAAGCAAAAGGTGTTCAAGTTTTAGTTGAAAATTTATATTAAGGCTTTAATTAAGGGGATAAGTTTATGGATATATGTTTTAAAATATTTTTTATATATTCAATAATTTATAGTATTACTTTTATATGAAATACAATTTTTAATATACATTATCTGTGAGATATAGAGATACCTTCAAGGAAAGTATACTTTTACTTTAATTTATTAACTAATTTTCATTGATTTTTATTTATTTATTATAAACAAATAACAAATATCTAAATATATATGTTTTCGTTAAGAAAATCACTCATACGCAGGGTGGTACCGCTGAGATACAATTTTTAATATACATTATCTGTGAGACTTATAGATACTTTTAAGGAAACTATTCTTTTACTTTTATTTAATTATTTAATTATTAATTATTTAATTATTTATACTTATTTATTATATTTATTTATTTATTATATTTATTTTAGTTGCCCAAAAAATCACTCATACGCCGTGCAATACCGCCTATTTTTGATTTCCCAGTAAACCCATGACCAATTTTTGTATAAAAACAAAATAAATATTAACTAAAAATTAATTATTAATTCATGTTTTCTTACAGCCCGAGGTCAATGCCTTCGAAATGAAACAAAAACCGCTGAGAAAGCGTGCCAGACCATATTTTGATCTGCATTCCGCTTCCAGGTAATTGTCCCAGCAGTGGTGATGGCCGGTATAAATAGTTAAGTTCTTGGCCGGAATAATCATCAGAAGCTTCCTCAACTTCCAAGACCAAAGAACCCACAGAAAACCAGCAGAATGCGCAGCTTGCAAATGATTTTCGGTGAGAAAAATTGGAAAATATCCTTCAAGAACAAAATGTAGTAACTTTTTACCCCCCTTTAAGGCCTCTCCACCCTCTTGATGGCCTTCATCCTGGTAACGGCCACCACCCCGCCGCGACCCACGACCACCAAACGCTCGATTATTACCCTGGCCCCCAGGATCTGTCCCCTGCCGGCGATCTGTGCCCGCAACAGTCCACGGGTCTGCGGACGAACCCCAGCCGGCGATTGCCAGCGCTTCAACAACATTTGCGATTTGATGCTGGCCAACAGGCGCAAAGAGCCCGCCGGAGTGCGGCATACCCGCGACTTGGATTGCAAGGATGTGCGCGGCGTGGGGGCAGCCAATAGGCGTCCCTGCTACCAGCAGTGTCCTCGCCGGCCGGTGGTCTGCAAGCGTTCGCCGCCGGCGCAGCACATTTGCGTGAGGAGCCGGGACAAGAAGCAGTGCAAGGTGCTGTCCAACAACTGTCAGCTGCGCAACCAGAACTGCCACAGCCGACCCAGGAATAGTGAGTATTTTAAGACCATTTAAGCTACCCTTTAGCCCCCTTTTAAGACTTTTTTCCTGCTACTTTTAAGCCACTTTTTAACTTGGTTTTTAATCTCTTTTTTCAATGCTTTTTCAGACTGGCGACGCACTGACAAGCGGCGCTGCGGTGAACGCCAGTTGGGCGACAAGCCTGAGGAATGCCAGAAGCTGCCACACACTGGAACCCGCAGGACCACCACCCGCAGGACCACCACCCGCAGGACTACCACCACTGCCAGGTCGGCCTAACAAACCTGAGAATCAAGAGCCCTGAATGCAGCTTGCTCTCCTTTTTTTTTTTTTGTAAACTAATTTGTGCAATCAACTTGAAATGAAATCTAAAAATAAAAAATTCATAAAAAATATATTGAGCCTCAAGGAGTTATTAATAATTTAAGGATATCCTTCAACTTTAGAGTTGAACTTTTGCCAGTCGCAGAGCTTCATTCTCCCGTCTTCCATTTCATTCTAGATTCCCAGGAATCATTAAGTGTTCAATGTCCTTTTTTCGGGGGAAAAGGAAAATCCCCGCTAATGACCACTGTAATTTAGCAGTTTGTTTTTTACATGCATTGCCCAAACAACGAGAAGGACAAGGTCGACAGCGACGACAACAAAGTAATAACAACTCAAATTACAATTGCCGAGAGTTCATTATTATTTGGAAATACACTTTTCCTCGAGCCGTTCTAACTTTTCCAAAGGGAGAGAGCACTAATTAATTGATAGATGGAGGCCCAAATTGACTCAAATTGCATATTCAAGTTGCCCGGCAGACACATATTCGTGTGTCTTTTATATGGTTTTAGTTTTCATTTCGAGCAGAAAGTTCATTGAATTACACACATTACGCATACGCAGCGTGGGACAGTGGGTGGAAAAGGGGTTTGAATTTGGTTGAAAATTATAAAGAAAATAAAGTATTTTCTATTAGTTAATTGTGTGTTTTATTCCTTATAAGTAAGTATGTTTTTCTGTTTAAAGTTTTCGGAGAATTTAGTTAAAAAAAAAATGATATTACGCATACGCAACGTTGGAAAGTCTGCTAGCAGTCGCTAAAGTGGTCTTAAAATTAACAAGAAAATATTATTTAATTTAATTAATGACATAAATTAATTATTAAATATTATTCAATAATGTTTTCTTGTTTTTAATTTATTAAAAAAGCAAAAACCTTTTTTATTACGGATATTACGCATACGCAACGCTGGAAAGTCTGCTAGCAGTCGCTAAAATGGTCTTAAAATTAACAAGAAATATTATTAAATTTATTTAATTATTAAATATTATTCAACAATGTTTACTAGTTGTTAATTAATCTATAACATTTACCTTTTAATTAATAAAAATAAATAATAAAGCAAGAAACCCAAAGAACACCTCTGTTGCTTGGCCCACAGTGCCACCGAAAACTTTCTGGGCAAATTACTGTTAAGAAGAACAACAGTACAGTCCCAGTCATCTCCATCAACTCGCACTTGTCGCTAGAGAAGCCGGCTTTTGCTCGTAACTTTTCCTTTTCTTGGCCAAAACTTTCCGGCTTGCGTTGTGCTGCTGCTGCTGCTGCTGCTGTTGTTTGTTTGTGTTTGTGTTTTGGCCTTGGCAAAAGGCAGCCAGCCTCTCGGCGCTTTAATTAAAACGCCTCGACGCCCTTAATCAAACCAAATTCAAATCAAACAAATCCAGCTGCGGTCGAGAGCCTCCTCTGTCAATGGTTGTGCCAGAGGCCTGTGGCCCTGGCTTTGCTGTGGCTTCGATTACACAGACAGAGAGACACAGCAGATCTTCCGGGTTAATGAAAACTTTTTGCGGCCCAAAAAGAGCTAACGAGCACAACGAGTTCGTTGTTCGATATTTAATTATTTGGATATTATTTCAAGTTGGTTTTCAGCTTGAACTAAGACTCTAATTAATTGTTGTCCAAGTGCTTTCTGGGTTCTGGGTAAATAATATACTTTTGGGCCCCGAAATTTATGACAATCATCTGCATCTGTTGAGCCTAAAAGCGTTTGTCATTCCGATTCAAACTAATGAATGCGAATGAGTGCCAACTGCCTGAATGGCTGAATGTCTGAATGTCCAGTCAACGCCCCACACATGTCCGGGGCGGGGTTATTAAAGCTAATTGCGTTGATTCATAAATTAGAAACACCTTTTGTGGTGTTGTGTGGGTTCGTGCTTGCGTGAGGAATGCCATATATGCATATATTTTGTGAATGGTTGGGAATGTCCTGGGCCCCGGCTAATGACCAGGCAGGTCCTGGCCACAATATTGGGAGACATTCCACCCCAATGGCAAGAAGAAGCACTGGCAGAAAAGTAAGCTTCTTTTTCAGCTTTACATTTATTTTTCCCCATTTAATTATTTGTTTTATATTCATTAAAATCCCATTATTTTCTTTCTCTGTGTGTGCCCCCTGAATGGAGTCCTTAATTTATGAACCCCCTACGAAAAGTGTGACCCATAATTTGCCACTTGGCCTGCCATACATGAACCTGGCCAATAGGGAGCAGGGAGCAGGGAGCTGACTTGTGCAGAGTCATTACCTGACACGGAATACTCGATTGTCATGGCCGGAGACTATTTAAGGCTGACAGATGACCGGCAGTTATCGGGCTTATAAAGCCGCGATCAACAGCTGCGAAATTAGAAAAGCGGAAAATTGATTACGGAATGGACTAAGGGGGAGAGTGGCCTTAAAGGAATATACTTTTGAAAATGATTCAATTAAAATAAGAAGGGTATTTTTGAAAACTAGTTTTATGCAGTGCAGGGATACGGCGGAGCAGGGCGGCTGCAGCAATGCAGGGATTGCAGGGATGTTGTTGCTGTTGTTGTAAAAGTAGCCGGCAGACCTGACTGGAAGTCCTATTTATAACAGATTAACATTCCGGATCGAAACTGCCATGATACTTTTTATCAAAGACTTAAAAATTCAGCGCAAAAGATGCCACAAAAATGACCAACTTATATTTTAAAATGCCTAAAAGTGGGCAATTTTTATACATCCCCGCCCAAAAGTATACCTTACTTAATATTTTTTGTATCAAAGACTTCTAAATTCAGCCCAAAAGATGCCGCAAACATTACCAAATAATATTTAAAATGCCTAAAAGTATGCAATTTTTATAATGTATTTCATTGTTTTTATTGATATAAAATAAAGTATTTGGTTGGTATAAAATAAAGTATTTTATTTTAAATGTTGCTTGTTGTGTTCGTTGCTGTTGTAAAAGTAGCCGGCAGACCTGACTGGCGGTGCTCTCTCCTTATCCCTGATTCCTGATCCCTGTTCCTCCATTCCCATCCCTTCCTTTCCCCTGGTTCTTGTCCGGGGTGGGTGTCAGGTCTACTGATACTGATGACCTAGGAGCGATGGCGATGGCAATGACGATGGAAAGTCTGTAATAGAAATGAGAAAAATAGCAAATTAAAAACTAAAAAAGGCATAACTCTGTCAAAAATGCCTTAATTTGCATTTGGAAAGCGGTGTTATGTTAGTTTTTATAAGGTTAACAAATCTGCATACCTAGTTAGAAATTGAAAATTTTATCAAATTTTGAGAATTTTAATGATGGTACCCCTTATAAAATTTTTAAAAAATTGATCAACAATTTTTTTCTTCCGGACGTGGCCAGAAAGATGCGCCTGTTAATGCTGATCAAGAATATATACGGTTTATGGGGTCGGAAATGACTCCTTCAATGCGTAATGAGCTTCGGACTGGAAATAAAATACCCTGCCAGGTTTTAAGGATACTAGAATATTTGCATGGAAAACTCTGGTTTTCATTCGGAAAGCGGAATTATGTTAGTTTTTTATTAGGTTAACCTTAAGCTAATGTACAAAAACATCGATAACTTAAGAGCGAGCACTTTAAAATGTAAAAAACGTTTGAAATCAACAACGACAACAACAATTCGCGCGTTTATATAGTACAAATACAATACAGAGAGGGGGTCAGGGTCAGGTTATCCTTTTTAACAGGGATTTCGGCGGCGGAGCAGGACGGCTGGGATGACAGACCTCAACCCGATGGCAGTGGAGGACGGTGATCGGATCTTGGCTCCGGTCTAGTTACCCTGCAGCAGTCGTAAATAATTAAAATATTTATAAATACAATTTAAATATGTAAATTTAATTGAAGGAACACACAAATATGAATCAATATGGAAAGGTTTGTTGAAGTCGGCATTTATTTGGGGGCCTTGGGATTGTTTTGGGGAAAAATCTAACTGTTTTGAAAGCAAAATCAAAATTCTTAAGATTTTTTCCTGAATTTTTAACATTTTTTCCAGATTTTTAAAATTTTTTTCAGATTTTTTAGTATTTTTTAGAATTTTTTTTAGAATTTTTTAAATTTTTTTAAATATTTTAACTGCCAAATTTGAATTTGAATTTAACTGCCAAATTTGAATTTGAATTCAACGACGATCAGTGATGCTCATGTGCATCAGTGATGCTCATCTGGCTATATATTGCAATATTGGGAGGCAATAAAATCGAGCATCACTGATGCATCAGTGATGCTCATGTGCATCAGTGATGCTCATCTGGCTATATATTGCAATATTGGGAGGCAATAAAATCGAGCATCACTGATGCATCAGTGATGCTCATGTGCATCAGTGATGCTCATCTGGCTATATATTGCAATATTGGGAGGCAATATATTGCAATATTGGAAGGCATCAGTGATGCTCATGTGCATCAGTGATGCTCATCTGGCTATATATTGCAATATTGGAAGGCAATATATTGCAATATTGGAAGGCATCAGTGATGCTCATGTGCATCAGTGATGCTCATCTGGCTATATATTGCAATATTGGAAGGCAATATATTGCAATATTGGAAGGCATCAGTGATGCTCATGTGCATCAGTGATGCTCATCTGGCTATATATTGCAATATTGGAAGGTAATATATTGCCATATTGGAAGACATCAGTGATGCTCATGTGCATCAGTGATGCTCATCTGGCTATATATTGCAATATTGGGAGGCAATATATTGCAATATTGGAAGGCAATATATAGCCAGATGAGCATCACTGATGCAGATGAGCATCACTGATGCAATTCCTAAAATTTGGCCGCTTCCCAAACTGGGGTAACAGGCGAACAGAAACCAGCAGCAAGCAACTGAAAACTGGTATAAACTGTTATAAAAACTTTTGGGCAAAAATAATAATTGGTATAAACTGTTATATTCCATTTTATGCATTTATACCTTTTTTCTGCCGGCAACAAACACTTGATTGCAACAACAACCCCTTTACAACAACATCCCTACAACAGCCCATCCAAATTTCCAAAAATTTCCATACAAATTGCCCGTTTCCCAAACTGGGGTAACAGGCGAACAGAAACCAGCAGCAAGCAACTGAAAACTGGTATAAACTGTTATAAAAACTTTGGGCCACGAAAAACGTGCCAGTGTGACCATATTGTAAATTTTGTCCAAGTTTCAAACCATTTAGGAGCCGGCGCAAGAAAGCGGAGACTCAAACCTTTTGAATTCAAATTTAGGTGTTATTTTACAACTGCACCTGGTCACACTGAAAGTGATCGTCGTTGAATTCAAATTCAAATTTGGCAGTTAAATTCAAATTCAAATTTGGCAGTTAAAATATTTAAAAAAATTTAAAAAATTCTAAAAAAATTCTAAAAAATACTAAAAAATCTGAAAATAATTTTAAAAATCTGGAAAAAATGTTAAAAATTCTGAAAAATTTTAAAAATTTAGAAAAAAAAATTAAAATTTCAGAAAAATTATAAAAAATCTGGAAAAAATGTTAAAAAATCAGAATAAAATCTTAAGAATTTTGATTTTGCTTTCAAAACAGTTAGATTTTTCCCCAAAACAATCCCAAGGCCCCCAAATAAATGCCGACTTCAACAAACCTTTCCATATTTATTAATATTTGTGTGTTCCTTAAATTACATATACATATTTAAATTGTATTTATAAATATTTTAATTATTTACGCCTGCTGCAGGGTCTCATATAGCCCGGAGCTAAGATCCGATCACCGTCCTCCACTGCCATCCGGTTGAGGTCTGTCCTGCCAGCTGCTCGCTCCTACAGCTTCATCTCTGCCGATCCTAAAATTATATAAAATTATTGATAGGTATTTAAATTAAATTAAGTACGCAGTTTTGTTAAGCTTATAAAAACTAATTTAGAACAGCTCTTCAAAATGAATTTCATGCGTTTTTGGATGAATTATGACCATTTGAAAATGAGGTCCTTTTCTGGCTGAGTTATGAACATTTGAATATTAGTTTTTTGCTTCTTATTGTTTAAAAAATTCTTTAAAAATTGCAGGTAAACATTTTAGTAAAACTGAGTACGCAGCTTTGTTAAGCGTAGAAAAACGAACCGCTTTCCGAATTGAATTTCATGCATTTTTGGATGAATTATGAACATTTGAAAATTAGTCAAAATGTAAAAATAAATCGATCCAATTTTGCAAAAATATGTAAGGGGTACCATCATTAAAATTCTTAAAAATTGAGAAAAAATGACATTGAAAACGTAGTATGCAGTTTTGTTAAGCTTAGAAAAAGCAACTCAAAACAGCTTTCCAAAATGAATTTCATGCATTTTTGGCTGAATTATTAACCTTTGAAAATGAGTTTTTTGCTCAGTTTTGTTTAAAAAATTATTCAAAAATTACAGGTAAGTATTTCAATAAAACTGTGTAAGCAGCTTTGTTAAGCTTGGAAAAACTAACACAAAACTGGTCATTTGCCAAATTTTGCTTGGCCTTCGGGGGAAATAACGAAATGACGAAATTAGGAAATTACAAAATGAGCGGCAGGCAACATAAACATAAACTAACACGAACTGCCTGGAAGCGAATGGCAAATGGCAAATGGCAAATTTTGTCCGCAATTAAACATAAAACCCGAAAACCCAAAAATGCTCAGACAAACCGCTGACAAATGAACGTGGCTCTGTTGCCTCAGTAAAAATGGCAGCAGCGGCAGCAGCAGCAGCAGCAACATTAACAAGCCGCATTTATTTAAATTAAAAGCCTGGCCTCGTTTCGGGTTTGGTTTTGACAAAGAATATTCCTGGATTTAGCACCAAGCTATGGGTATTTAAGAGAAAGATTATTGCAGAAATTTGCTTGGAAAAGTTGGCCAAGAAAACCACTAGCATAACTTGGTTGGTATTTGCAATTGGTAGTTGGGAGCTTGCACTCATCTTTACTCTTTAATTCCCCGAAGATCGTAGGATAGGATGCTTCATTGCTCCAGTGATGCTCATTTAACTATGATTGGTTAAAAATTACAATTGCAATTGCAATTGCATGCTACATTTTGAAATTATGCCGAAAAGATGCTCCATTATTTTGCCAGATGCCCAAAAGTATGCAATTCTTACCAATTGCAATTGCGTGCTACATTTTAAAATTATGCCGAAAAGATGCTCCATTATTTTGCCAGATGCCCAAAAGTATGCAATTCTTACCAATTGCAATTGCGTGCTACATTTTAAAATTATGCCGAAAAGATGCTCCATTATTTTGCCAGATGCCCAAAAGTATGCAATTCTTACCATTTTCTGCTTATTTTCATGATAATCCCTCTTTCAATTGCTGAGTTTCCCCTCTATTTCCGCTTCCGTTGAGCCCACTAATCAATGTGTGTTATTGCGGCTGCTGCTGTTGCTGGTTTATGGCCGCTCCTTTGGCTGCTGTGCATAAATTCGATTGAAAATTAATTAGCGAGCTGAGGCAACAACATCCTGGCTGAAAAACCTAATTGCCTTTGATTATATATATGTATATGTCTATCGATACGATGCCAGAGCTTACTCAATCACACAAACACACACACACGCACGAAGGCACAGGCCATGTGGTAGAGGAGGGGGATATCCTTGGAGGGGGTAGGAGCCAGGACCAGGACCAGGACTATAGACAGACATAAGCCACACGCAGCATTAAATTGGCATTAGGTCAGGCCAGTGGACCAGCAGAGAGCAGGCCTCGGATGTTTTTCGGGCTCGAATGAGATTGAACTTGACTTGTTGTTGTTTCTGTAGTTGTTGTTGTTTGTTGTTGTTGTATTTTCAGGCCAAAAACAGAGGTTGATGTGGGGCCTAACATGCCACATTGTCGCTTTGACTTTTATTTATTTTGTTAGACGCATTTTGAAAAGCCAATAAGCAGCTCTCTGATTGATTATCTGCTGCCCTCTCATTGTCTCCCTGCTGATGTATACGGTCCAATACACACACGTAGATGGTACAGTGGAACCTGGCTATAAGAAGAGCTGGAAATATTTTAAATAAATAAGAAATCTTTGTAAATTAATAAAATATAAGGTAGTATATAACTGGTTTTCTCTTCTATTTTTTCATTAAAATTTAAAACTAGATTATTACTCATTATTTATTAATTATAAATTATTATTATATTAATTATTATTTATTTTAATAAATTAGGTAATACTTTTTCAAGCTTCAGTTTTAATTTGAAGCATGTTTTTCCTGCCAAAACTATGATATCCTTTTTAAGGATATACCCCTTTAGCTTTAGTGGCTCTTTATATGTTGTTTTTCCTTTCTTTTCTGTTTCTGTGAAAGGCGTCAATCAATTTTGAGTGAAATAAATGAGCCTTGTGCCCGGCCAAAGGCTTAAAATTGTAAATTCCTCACACACACGCATTATTTCAACTGTTATAAATGGCTGCCATCTCATCAAGGTAACCGAAAATCCCATGACTTTGATGAGGAAAACTCTCAAGTGCAGTGGCTGAGGCTGAGGCACATTTTCCACCAAATATTTGAGCACTTAACCGGCCCGAAAGTGGGCTGTTCTGACGCTTTTGGCCAAAAGTGCATTAAATATGAATGGGGGAAAAAGTGTCGCAACCATATTTGCTAGTGCCACCCGCTCCGGAAAAGTTTCATTTTCCATGTGCAAGAACTTTGCAGTTTTCCAAATGCAAAATGCAAAGTGTTTTTTGTGTGCAGCTCAACACAACTTTTGTGAAATCACATAAAATGGAAAATAGAGAGAAACTCCAGGGGCATATATTAGTTTAAGAGTTGGGAAAATAAATTCCATTCTATATTAATTACTGTTCCACAAACCTTATTTCCGTAGTGTAGAGAGAGAGGTCGCTGCAATCTCTGGCCCGATCAGATTCGTCACCCGATTCCCAGCTTCGATTTGGTAGAGATAACCCCGGCCTATAGCTATATATTACCCACACGATGCCAGTTTCAGTTTAGCGCCGCTACTCTCGTGATGCGTTTCTCGCTGCTTTGGCCCCCGCTGATCCTCCTGATCCTCGCCAGACTCTCGGCGGGGACTGAACTGCCCGATCATATCACGCGGAACCTGGACCCGGACATCAGTCCCTGCCTTGACTTTTATAGCCATGCCTGCGGCAACTGGTCGGCTGTCCACGAGACGGATCCCTACAGGAGTCAGCTGGAGCAGCTGGACTACGACTACCAGGAGCGGCTGGCCGGTTTGCTGGAGGCAGCAGACTCTCAGTGAGTGCAGGATTGCAGGGTTTTCTTTTTCTCAAAGACACTTTTCTTTCTCTTTGCAGCTCGGGCAAGGAGGCTCGCTTCCTGCAGCTGCCCCGTGATTTTTACGCCTCCTGTCGCCGTCACCTGGACATGCCCCAGGTGGTGGCCTTCCTCCAGGAGCTGGTCACGCGCCATCCGCTAGGCTACGAAGAGCTTACGGTGGCCCTGATTGCCGCCTTTCGCCTCAAGGTCCTGGTGGAGATGGGCCCGGGCAAGATGCACAACATCTGGCTGCAGTTGCTCCTCCGCTCCAGCTCCGAGTGGCAGAGCAATGAGACCAGCACGAAGCCCCTGGAAAGGCATCAGTTTGAGGTGCTGTGGCTTCCGTCAAGAGCCTGGCCCACCAAGGAGCCCTTCTGGCGGAAAGTGAGCAGAATGGAAATGATCATGATGCTGGAGGACAACGACGAAGACGACAACGATGACGACCCCTTCCTTGACAAGCAGCATCTGCCCTCTTTTTGGATGCTGCCCTGGCGGAAAACCCCGCCCAGTCCCGGCTACATCCGGCGGATGGTAGCTTTGCTAACAATGGAGACGCCAGTCTTCCTCATACCCTACATCCTGATCAGACTGAGGCTGGCCGGAGGAGGACTTGCCGGCGCCAAGACCTGGCAGGTGAGCCGCAGCGAGTGCGCCGAGCAGAGCCGCCAGCTGCTGAGCCATCCCTCGGTGTGGCTGCTGGAGAAGGATCAGCCCCGCCTGCCGGAGGAGCCTGTGCTGCAGGGCGTCTTCCAGACCCTGAAGCATCGCTTCGGCCAGAAACTGAGGGCCAACCGGAACGACTTTGGCCATAGCAGCCTCAAGTTCCTGCTCTCGAAGCTGGAGCACATGACCCTCCGCCTGAGTGTCCTGCCGCGTCAGAAATCGGACCATTCCCTGGAGCGTCGGATCGATCGCCACTACAGCCAGCTAAACCTCAATGCCACCGATTATTATGGCAACCTCCTGGCCGCCCTAAGCCACTCCACAAGCCAGAAGCAGCCAAACAGTATCCTGGGCACGATCCTGCCCTGGCTGACCAATATCCAGCTGCCAAAGATCAGCAAGCGAGGCCAGCCGCTGCCCGTAGAGGTGCATGGCTTTGGCAGCTTCGGCTCGCCCTTCTACATGCAGCACTCCAACACTTTGGTGGTGCCTTTGTCCTTGTTGGGGCCGCCGCTCTACCTGCCCGGCCAGTCGGAGCTGCTCACCTACAGCTCGCTGGGCTTTATCCTGGGCCACGAGCTCTCGCATGGCTTCACCCCCGAGGCGGCCAGCGTTGACAGTCGGGGCAGGCTGCACTTGAGCATGGCAAGGAAGCTGCTGGGCAACAGGCGCTTTCGCAGTGAGACCACCTGCCTGAGGTTTCGCTTTGGCTCTGAGCAGCTGGAGGAGAGATTCGCGGATGCCAATGGTTTGGAGCTGGCTTACTCGGCCTACTTTGATGCTGCCGAGGGGGATCGCCGCTGGGATTCGGAGAACTCCATTGAACCGGGTTTGAAGTTGGACTTACGAAGACAGCAGCAGCAGTTCTTCCTGAACTTTGCCCAGTTCTTCTGCTCGGACGAGGACAGCTCGCAGGATAATGACGATCATGGGTCGGATAGCAGCAGGGTCAACGAGGCGGTGGCCAATTTTGAGCCCTTTCAGCAGGCCTTCAAATGCCACGAAGGGGTGTTTGGAGGGAAGAAGCAGAAGATGAGGCAGTGTCGCCTGTATTAGACGTAGGGATCGAAGCTAAAAAATAATTATAATAATAATAAAATAATAATGATAAATAATAAACAAATAATTAGTGAATGAATAGTGGTTTAAATAAGGAGGATGTTTAAAAATAATAAAAGAAAGGTTTTTGCTGGAATATGTAGAGCTCATAGCTTCTCTCTATCTCTCTCTTATTCTCGCTCTCTCTCTCTCTCTCTCTCTCTTTCTCTTTCTTAACTTTGTAGCGAATGAGAGAGTACTTACGAGAGTAGCTCTCATCTCCCTTTCTCTTAACTTTGTAGCGAACGAGAGAGTATTTACAAGAGTAGCTTGCGTGGGATTCCCCCTTTTTCACTTACTTACTGCGAGCAGACATTACCCTTTAGCTTAGCTGATTATTGATTTTACTATCTGAAAAAAAATAGAAAAAAATCAAAAATAGAAAATAGAAAACGCAATTGAGGCCAGCCAGGCCATGTGACATTTAATTAGTTTATTTATTTGCTCGTAACTGGGGGATGCACCGTCGAAAGTATATGTACAAAATCAAAAACGGAAACCGAACGCAGAGGCTGTCGTCACTACGTTTATGCATATATATAATATTATATATATGTAATATATATATAAATAGTTGACACATTCCATTCAGACAGAGACAGCTCTTAGTTATAGTAAATAGTTTGCTTTACACTTAAACATTTAAACTGGAAACACGGCAAAGGGTAATCTTAATTCGTAGACACTGAATCCCAATTAATACTAGTTAAAAAAAAAAACAAAAAAACTATAGACAACTCTTGACATCAACTTGAAATTCGTTTTATGACATATTTTATATATACTCTCTATATAGATTTTATTCACACATTTAAATCGGTAAACGCTGGGGCTCAAGAGGTTTACGAATTTAAATGCTGGGCTCTCCTAGGTGCTAGCTACACTTAAACAAAACTCCAAAAATATTTTACAAGTCGATTAGTTAGTTAAACTCTTAAAGACTACTTTGGGTAAGTAGCCGTAACTCTTAAGATTCCTGTAAGTATTTTTGGGGGTACCTAGCCTAGTTTTTATTGTTTTGAAATTACGCGCTTACCCATCACTTTGCCGAAACATCTCTCTTAGTCTATAGCGGGTTTTTGGTTAGACGAAGACATCAACACACAACAAAAACACACTCAGACACCTAGCTAGAACTTGTGTTTCGTGTACGTATAGATCCTTAGGGGTAGTATCCTTTCTCAGACAGTTTTCATATTATTATCTTCTCCTTAAAACCTCCTGAAACCTTAAGGCTCAGCCCGAGTTTCAGAGTCTCCTCCTTAGACATTCCTCTCCTCGGCGATTATGTCCATGGTGCTGACACGTCGCTGCTGCTGCTGCTGCTGCTGGTGCTGCGGCCCGCCACAACCAGAAGCCATCATAGTAGTAGTGGTGGTGGTGGTGGTGGTGCAGGTGGTGCGCCTGTGGTCACTGCTGCCACGCCGCGGCACCAACAGCACCAATTACTAGAGGACCGTCTCATTGGTGTTGGTGCAGGTGCGGGCTCCATTCACAATCGAATACTTGGTAGAGCTGTCCTTCTTGGCCACCAGTCGCCCCAAAAAGATCTCCTTGAAGGTCTCGCGAAACTGGCGCGACATGCCGCAGTAGATACCAAAGTTTATGGGATAGCTGACCACCAGAAAGAAGTTTGTCAGCAAAATGCAAATGTTGGCCAAACCATAGTCGAGGAACTCAATGATCAGCGAGCTCACAATGTGCATTACAGTCACCACGGCAATGGGTATCTCGGCCAGCAGGAACACCGACACCACCACAATCAGCATCAAGGTGGTGCAGTTGGATTCCCTCAGCTTCTTGCACTCCTTTTTACGATTCTCCCGGAAGAGCAGCTTGCGCCGCTCCTGGGCCTGCCGCATGGCTGCAAACAGCAGGATGTTCAGGGTCACCAGGATGATGCAGGGCAGCAGGTGAACAAACAAAACGCGGAACAGATAGTAGCTGGTGTAGTACAGATCCACGCCAATGTATTCGTGCACCCACAGGGAGGTCTCCAGGTGGCAGACCTCCGTCTCCTGGCCATTCCACTCGATCTCCATGGGCATGTATGTCCTGTCGAAGAAGCGTGGCAGCTGGTGGAGGAAGGCCAGCAGGGCAATGTAGGCGGTGCAGCGCTTGACACGCGGCATTGTGCACCAGGTCCTGGCCATGGGGGCATGGCAAACGTAGATGTACCTGCAAATATACACATTTTAAATTTTATTTTATTTCCTGTTCGAGGTAAGTCACATTAAAACCCCAAAATGGACTTTATCTGTAATGGGTTTTCCTCCTGTCACAGGACTTTCAGCCTCCCTAAGCCTCCCTTAGCTCTCTTTGGCCCAATATAATTTTATTTTATGGCTGGAAGATAAACCAATTTCCCCCCCAGGTGGGAATTTACGATCGCAAAATGTGGTGACAACGAATTTGTTAAATCCTAATTTGAAATCCCCTCTTGTCTCTCTTCAAGGATTTCCAATTCCTTGAACGTAGCCCAGGCAATCAAAGGCCAAAAAGCTAATCAAGTTGGCGCTTTATAATTTCATAATTTGTGTAATTTGTCAGGGGTTCTCCGACTTCTCCTTCGACCTCCTTCAACCTCCTTTTTCCCCTCTCGAAATCATAATAATAATTCCTTTCGTTTCCTGTCCTAAGCGAGGAGGGGGTTGGCAGGAGGCAAAACTTTGACGGCGACTTATAGTTGGCCAGAAAAAAAACAGAAAAAGTATATCAGAACGACGACCTTTGATGCTGACGCCGCCGCCGCCTGATGGCCTAATTTATGCGCATAATTATGGCCACGCCCACCGCCATTCTGGCACTTGAAAATGTTTTTCAATCAATCTTTCATTGAACCTTTGTCAAGCGGGGATTTTTCATTAAAGCTGAAAGAAACAGCAGTCGCGTTTAGGCCTTAAATGGAATTAATACTAATAAATGAATAACATTTCGCCCCTTTTTAGCCTCTCATTTTCATTGTCATTTTAACAATTAAGTTAATTTGTCCTAAAAGGATATACTCTACCAAAAAAAAAAAAAAACAAAAAGAAAAAGGAAACCCCTGCTATCCTTTTAAGCAAAGAAAATAAACGAGACAATAAATCAATCAGCAGAGATTCCTCTCGAGAGGTTTACCATCTTCTGGGGGTGATATAAAGTTGGTCAACTTGTGTTAATGATGGGAATCCCCCTCTCAAGGACTGAGAAATATGTTGAATATCAACCCTTGAGAAGTTATTTTAAGCGAATTACTTTGGGGGGTTTTTTTAAAGGGTTCAAGGAACTTTTACTTGAGCTAAGAATAATTATTTTCAACTTGTAAAATATGTTTTTAACTATAATAAATCAAGGATTAGAATATATCTTAATGATAAATTATTAAAACTATTTTTCAACTAGATAACGTCTCTTGAAATCCTTTTAAGGGAATTACTTAGCTCACTGAGGGACTTTTTAAAAAGTTTAAGGCACTTCTTAGCTATAAAATATATTATAATCTTATAAAATATATTTGTAAACTGTACTAAATGAAGTATAATATTTAATAAATTATAGTTAACAATTATTTTTCATTTTAGAATTTATCCCTTGAAGTTTAATTTGCTAACTGAGGAATTTCTAAAATGGTTTTAGGTATTTTTTAGCCAAGAGAAACTTATTTTCAGCTTGTAAAATATATTCTTTAACTATAATAAATAAAGTATAAGAATATATCTTTATGATAAATTATTTAAAAATTATGTTTAACCTTAGTTTTAATCCCTTGCCATAATTTTAAGGGAATTATTCTGCTAACTGAGGAATTCCTTAGCTAAAAACAATTATTTTCAGCTTGTAAAATATTGTTTTTTAACTATAATAAAAAATTATTCAAGTATATCCTTAAGTTACATAATTTATAAATTCTTTTTTAGCTTAAAATATATATTTCTGTATATAATTTATAATGTATTTGAATAATCTTCAAGGAAAAGTATTTTGAAATTATTTTACAGCTTAAAAAAAAATCTTTTTCCCTCTAAAATATTTGCATTTAGCCTAATTTATTTCTTTAAATAATATAAAAATAAAAGAAAAATTAATTATGAATAATTTCTCTGTTTAAAAAATTACATTTTCTTCTAAGATATTTGCCTAATTTATTTGTATTTAAATACAACCCCGTAAAAAAATAATTATGAATTATTTCATTATTTAAAAAATTACATTTTTCTCTAAAATATTTCCCTTTAGCCTTATTTATTTCCTTTCATAATATAAAAAGACAATAAATATTAATATTAATTATTTCTCAGTTAGTTTCGCTGTAAAATATTCAAATTAAAGCTTATTTATTTCTATATTTGATAAAATTATTAAATTATTTCCCAGTTAAAAAAATACAGTTCCCTTTCAAATATTTGCTTTTAAAGCTTATTTATAAATAATTTCCATATAACTTGTATGTGAAACCAACTCCCCTTTTCGGGTTAACCCCACTATATCCGGCCTTATTAATATTAACCATTCTCAAAAAGGATCCAAACCCTAAACTGATTTCAATCACACAACTAATAAGGAAGCCATTAAATATTTATAGTGGCCTCTCGAATGGGCCTCAGAGCCACTTTAAAAGTGTGCCAATGCTCCCGGGAAAAAACAGTTTTACCTACGCAGATACTATATATATATTTTATATTATATATATTCATGCTGAGTTGGTTTATAATACTTTTTGTATTATTAAATTTTTATGGAGAGGCATCGTTGTCGTCGTCGTCAGTCACTCACTCAGGCAGTTCATTCAAGGCATTATGCGACCCCCCAACACCCACCACCCACCACCTACCCCTCTGCCGCCATCACGAAGGGCCATAAAAACACTTGAAATACAATAAGTTGACAACAGCAGCAGCGGCGGCGGCAGCAGCAACAACAAAATAATAACAATAAACGCTGAATGTTTTTATCGCGCTATTTGTCCTCGGGCAATTTTCAACGCATTTTAGAGAAAGAGGGGGGGGTAGAGTCCTGGTTTTGTCCAGGGGAATACCCTGTACCCCCTTTTCTCCTATTATTTAGCTATTTTGGTGGTGCAGCCTCCGACCACTTGAAAGCCAGAGACCCCAAAGTCGCATAATGGCGCAAATATTTATGACTATTCTCATGGAAAATTTCTTGTATTTTTTTTTTTTTGTGAAATTTATTTGCAAAGCTGTAAAATTTATGATCCCACACATGAGTTAATAGAACAATGCGTTGGCCAAACCGATTTTCAAGTGGCTTTCAGTCTATATATATATATAGAAATTTCAGCTTGGCCTGAAATTTATGTTGCCTATTTGAAATTAGTTTATTGTTTTTCCCTTTTTTGGTTCCATAAAATATTTACAGGCTGTCTCGGTGCATTAGTGGTTCTTATTTATGGCTTTAGTGGCGAGGCCAATTTGGTTTTAAGGAGGCTGGGAGTCTGGGTCTGGGAATGTCTTATCAATCGATCGAAGAAGTGACTACACATCGCTCATACGCATCACTCATACGCAGCGTTGACTGCTTCAAGGTGAGCACATTTGTTTGTAGCCTGCTCTCTCTCCCTCTCTCTCTGTCTCTCCCTTTCTCCTACCAAGATCTCCTTAGCCCAAAGGCATTGACATTTTATTTTTACCACAAAAACTGATTTATTGCCGCCATTGACAAGTCAACGACGAGTCAGTCGGCAAAGTCACTTTGTCAGTCAGTCAGTCAGTCAGGCAGTTACCTCTCTCCCTCTTAGCCCAGGTAACCCAGGCAACCAAGGCTATACCTGGTAAAGGCGTGTGAGCCTGGCTCACTTTTATTGGCCTAATTGCATATTTACCTTTGCACGGCGAGGGCCAGAGTTAGCCAAACGGAGATGGTGTGGCACATGGCTGGCATAATCTGCAAGCAAAAAAAAAAAGAGAGAACCAAATCGTTAGTCAAATATATATACTACATATATTCAGGGGAATGTGGTTGGAGCGGGGGTTTGTCTTTGGGATTATTGGGAGGTATGTATGTACATAGCTGCTGATAGCCATTCTGTGTGTGACTTTTGGCATACTTTTGGGGTTGTAAAGTAAGTGAAAAAGCTAAGAGACACATTGCTTGAGTTAACAATATACATCTAAAATATAAAATATATATATTTCGGTATCAAAGACAAGCATTAAGGTCTTTGGAATATATTTTACATTTTTATTTGAATTTATTTTTGTGGTTCCAAGGTAGTTTTTATATATTTTTACCATTTTAGGGTTTTATATAATCTACTCATATTTTTGTTTACGTATTTTGCAAAGAATCAATAGGGAATTTAATGTTTAAATAAATATTAAATAACAAATAATAATTAAAAATATATCTGTATTTTTTAACCCATCTCCAAAGGAACCCGAGACGACATTCCTTGGCCTGTCTGCCAAATCAAATTTGCGGTCTTCAACTGCATTAGCCTGGCAGTTCAGGCCTTACACACTCAAAAAAAAAAGGCTTAAACAAAAGCAAAAGTAACAAACTTGATAAAATATATTGTAAACTTTTAAATAAAAGTTAGAAAATATTTTTAAAATTTTTTAATGTATTAAATTTGAATTTAATTTCCCCAAATAAAAAAAAACAAGTACCCATATTTTCTTTTTCCTCCTTTGACTTGGCCATTTGCCGGCTCCTCCGGCCAGGTGTCGGCTCCATTTATGAACCGTAATGAGTGCGGCTTCTGTGGCAGACAGGCAGAGGCACTCCTCCGTACAGAATGGAGCCTGAAATGGGTATAGGATGTGTGCACAATCTGTGGCCTAATCCGGTTTATGTGTCTGTGCTGGCTGCTGCAATTACATGGCCACTGCATGCTGGTATACTTTACAATGAAATGGTTAAGACCCCCGTTCACACACTCCCCTCCAACTCCCTGTTACATTAACATGGCCATTATGCGCTGCCAACTCAGGCCAGGAACGTGCTGCTGCCAGAGCCGAGAGTGTATATAAATTTCCAGCTCCAAACGAAAATGAAACGTAGGAAATCTTCTTCAAGTTTCGTGGGGGCGGGGGCTGCTGCAATGGCCGCCTGGCGGTTATTACCGAAACGCCGCTTCGCCCAAAAAAGGATGTGAGTTGAATTTTATGGCAGTCATACGCAGAGAGATAGTCAGAAAGGACCTCACATCACAAAACCAGCTACCCCCCCCCAGTCAATCCTTAACCCCAAGACCCTGGGCCCAGCATGGAATTTAGCTGGTACAAATCCCCAGAGAGTCCACTAACAGCACGTAGCAATGGCAGCCAAGGCAGTGGGGCAAACTAGCTGGGAAAATGTAGGAAAATTTAGATACATTTTCCTTTTAATTATAACTTTAAAAGGAAAATCAAGGAATTGCCTTTCTCTGAATGCTCATTTTCCCTTAGGCTTAAAAAAAAAACCAATTCCTAATGGAAAATCATGGGGAAAATGGCTCGAGTAAACCCACTATGCCTCCCCGCTCCCGTTGAAGTGAGTAAACAGTTTTGCTTTTTCCAACACCCCCAGAAAATCTGCGCCCTTCGAGTGCCATAAATTGAAAATGTTGATTAATCAAGGCAAACGTGTTGAGGGGGAAAGCGGGGTGGGGAAAAGCGGGTAGGAGTTCTGCATGGTAATGGTGGAAAAACGCTCTCGAATGAATAAGTGCTGCGAATGGGATGGCAGGTGGCAAGTGGCAAGTGCCATTCTTTCATTATGCTGACAGAAATGACACTCACAAAGGGAAAATCTGGGAAAATGGGCTCAGCCTGAGAGTGCTGAGAGAGCGCGAGTGTAACGTGGCATCAAATGCGATAACGATAACGATAACGATAACGCGACGGGAGCCAAAACAAAGAATCATACATCAGACATGGGAGACAAAGGAAGAGAAAGATGGGGGGAAGATGGGGGGAAAGATGGGGGCCGGAGTTTCCTCCTGCTTTTCCCAGTTTCCCCCGTCTCCCATTTTATCATTTTATTTAGGTCAATGAGCGTTGTGTGTCTTTTTCGAGGGGCAAAAAGGAAGCTGCTTGGCTGGTTGGAAACGTGGCCAGCAGCCAAAATAAACAGTTTGCCGGCCCACCCACTGCCTTGGCCAGCCTTGGCAATTAGTTTGTGGCAAGAAAACATACACACACTGCGAAGGAAGAGCCCTCAATGTTGGCAATATAAATGAAAATTTAACCAAAAGAAATTTTGTTGAATTTTGTAAATAATTTGGTAAAAATTTAACTTGAAAAGGAGATTTTTTTAAAATAATAATTGAGAATTCTTGAAAGTATTTGAAGTTGTCTTGGAAAAAAACAAAGTTTTAATTGGGAAAAGTCTTCAAGGTATTAGCTACGGAAGCCCTGTTTTTATACCCTTGCAGGGTATTATAATTTCAGTCAGAAGTTTGCAACGCAGTGAAGGAGACGTTTCCGACCCTATAAAGTATATATATTCTTGATCAGCATCAACAGCCGAGTCGATCTAGCCATGTCCGTCTGTCCGTCTGTCCGTCTGTCCGTCTGTCCGTCTGTCCGTCTGTCTGTCTGTCTGTTTCTACGCAAACTAGTCCCTCAGTTTTAAAGCTATCTGAATGAAACTTTGCATATAGTCTTCTATATACTCTCACTGCTATATATGTCGGAACGGGCCGGATCGGACGACTATATCATATAGCTGCCATACAAATGTACGATACATTTCTAGAAAAAAATTTATAACTTTGCTGTTTTTCAAAATTTTTGCTCCATTTTTTAGATATGGCCATTTTATATTATTTCTGAATTTTGGTAAAAAATGTATGCAAATCGGCCGACTACATCATATAGCTGCCATAGGAACGATCGAGAAATAAATAGGAAAAAAAATTATAGCTTCGTTGTTTTTCATCGTATGTTTATCTACTCTGAGATATAAGCTTTTTTTATTATTCTAGAATTTTGGTATAAATTTCATAAAAATCCATATAAACGATCTGTAAATGTAGAGAAAATGTAAAGCTGGGAATGTAAAACTGTAACTGTCAAACTGTAAACATAATAAGTATAGGTAAAATGTAATGATGTAATGTAATGTAAGTGTTTTCAGCATTTAAATCTATAATATAAACATAAAAACCAATCTGCAAGGGTATACAAACTTCGGCGTGCCGAAGTTAGCTTCCTTTCTTGTTTCAATTTAAAACTTAAGGAAATCTTTAATTGAAATATTTGAATATTTTAAATAATAATTTAGCTTCATAAAAAATATTCTTAAATATTTTATAAAGATTTTTTATATTAAATATTTTATATAATAATTTTAATATAACCAAAAATATTTTAAATTATTTAATATAATTTAAATATAATTTAGCTTCCTTGCAAACATTTCAAATATTATATATATATTTTTTATATTAGATATTTTATATAGGATAGCTAGATCCAAGAAATATTTTAAATATTTTAATATAGATATTTTATATAATAATTTAGCTTCCTTAAAAATATTTTAAATATTTTATATCGATTTTATTATACTAAATATTTTATATACTAATTTAATTAGATATTTTATATGAAATATTTTAAATTATTATTTAGCTACCAAAAAAATATTTTAAATATTTTATATAATAATTTAGCTTTCTAAATAATAGTTGAAATATTTTATATATATTTTTTATATTAGATATATTATAAAAAAATCCAAGAAACATTTAAAATATTTTTATTTTATATTAGATATTTTTTATTAAATATTTTATATAATAAGTAAGCTATCCAAGAAATATTTAAAATATTTAAATATATTTTTTAATAATTTAGCTTTCTAAAAAATAGTTTAAATATTATATATATATTTTTTATATGAAATATCTTGTATAAAATTTTAAACTTTCCAAGTAACTTTAAGTTTTTTTCACAATAAAAATATTAATAAAAATATACAAATCTCCTAACCTTTCTTTTATGCTTTCTATGACCTTTGCTCACTTTTTAAGATTTATCAAAAACCATCTACTCATTTTGTCCAGTGTATAAACATCCTTTGTAATGCTGACTTACCTCATTGAAAATACTGTAGGCCAGACACATGGAGACCGGATGCAGGGGCTTATAGTGATTGCCGAATGTGTACATATACCAGAGGCCAGGGGCCGGAAATATAACCGTCAGCATATCGCATATGGCCATGCCTGCAAACAGAAAGAGAGAGAAAGAGAGAGATATATATAGAGAGAGAGAGAGATAGATATGGTTTAAATTGGAAATTATGGTAATGTTTAATGCAAATGATGGTATTTTCAGCGATTTTCCAATGCAAATTGATTGTGTGATTGGACACTGCCACCGATGATGCCACTGTCTGTTTGTAATCCAATTCCCGGGGTCTTATAATCGATTCCGCTGATCAATTATTCAGGGTTTTTGTTGAAAGAGAAATAAGGTCAACTGGGGTGACCTTTGGTTGGGGTCTATTTGTGATGGAAAGCTATTAATAAATATTAAACCTCAAATATTTCAAAATTTCTATATATTTTCATTTGTCTTTTAAGGCCTCGAAAAGTCTCTAATTCGCTCACTTTCCCTTTGGTTTTATCCCTTAATCGACTTTTGTTTTCGGGTTCCTGTGGTGTCCTTTACTGCCTCAGCTTCTGCCTGTGGCCCAGTGACATTTGAACCAAGCGAATGTGTTTAAGTGACTGACTATGCACCCCAATGGCCTGACCTTTGTGCACTCATTGGACCAACAGTCCTGCTGTCTGCACATTTTGTTAGGGGCTTACACTGGGAAAAATAAGGACAAGTGAAGAATAAAAGTTGGAAGGGAAAATAGGGAATTATAACCTTAGAAAATAAGAGATTTCCCTTTATTAAAAACCCTAAAAAATACATTTATTATCTCATTAATTCCCCACTTTTCCCTCTAGTTTTCCTTATTTTAACCCCCATTTTCTTGCAGTGCCTAATTCCCTCTGCTCTCAAGCGGTTTGGAGCCATTTTCTGCCACTGCCTTTGCCCCTGTTGCGGTTTGCCTGCTGCAGGACCCCGTGTCCTGTGTCATTCGTTCCGATTTGCGATTAGCCTTGGCCTGCGCTTGACACCCGGTTGCTGGGCAGGATTTCTGAGGTTGTCCTCAGGGGTGTGTGTGTGTGTGTCACACTTAACCCATTGACAGTGAAATAATTTTAAAGTAGAAGCTTGCAAGGGATTTATATTGAATGTTTTCCAGGGATTTACCCCAAGCCGTCCAGTGGATTTTTTTTTTATAAATCAGCTGGAAATTTCGCTTCCTCCCACAGGCTATTAGAATATCTCAGCATTACGCGGATTGTGAGATACTATATACTCAAAAATATATACATGTTTTTCCTGAAATCTCGCAAAAGTTCTGCCTGATTTAACATTGTTTGTGTGGCGGCAAATAAAAATAAATAATAAACATTAAAGGGGGAAAGTACCGCCACACCAGTGAATGTCAAGGAAATGTCTGTATTCTTGGCTGTCCTTGAATTATTTTGGATTATTTGGCAATGATACAAGTTGCATGTGTCACGTAAGCCACCTGCAAGGCTTCTATTTATGGAATCACAGGTAGAAAACAACTCACCCATCAGCACAAAGTTGGTGGGCGTGGCCATGCTCTTCTTGCTCAGCACCAGCACAATCAGCGTGTTCGATATAATGGTGATGATCATGAGGAAGGGCATGCAATAGCCGTACAGCGGCAAAGCATAATCCAGCGGGGAGTCGCAGGTGAGATTCCAATAGCTCATATTTCCCTCCAATTGCCGGCAGCCCCCGCCGCCTGGGGACGATGACTGCTGGTAGTTGCTGTAGTCATCGTAGCCCTCGCTGGTGTTCAGGGTCATGCCCATGCCCATGCCATAGTCGAGCAGGCTGAAACGGCTGGACTCATTGGTGGCCAGCACTTCAGCGGCGGGATGCAGCAGATGGAGTATACCCGGGGGATTGCGATCCGGCGGCAGGCTGGCTGAGGGCGAGGCGAGGCGGGAGGCAGCAGCCGAGGCTGCAGAGGCTGCAGACGCTGCAGAGGCGGACACGGCATTGGCACTCCACTGGTACAGCACCTCCGTGGCGGATATGTCAGAGGGATAGCCAGAGTGGGAGCTGGAATCTCCCGAATCGGAGGCGAAGCCACTCGAAACCGAAAGGTTGTCCATCGTTGAGAGCGAGGGCACAAGTTTTCCGCGAGCTTTCCCCAGGAGTTGCCTGGCCCCTCAGTTAGCAGGAGAGGCTGGCCAGTCCGGCATTGCTGGTTCTGAGTTGCTGGAAAGAGTAGAAAATTAAAGAAAATATTATTATTTCCCTTTTCTTTATAATTTTTAATCATTTAAATCAAACTTTTAAGTACTTCCAGAAAGCTGTTATCTCTTTAGAAAGAAATCTACAAAAAAATACAAACTCTTCTCCATTTTCTTTTCCTGTTTTCCCACAAATTAAACTGCAATTGTTGAGTTCTTTTTCCAGAAAGTAAATTGGTAAAAGACCAGTCTGGATTTGGAAACAGTTTCCCTCTGCCTAATGGCCAAACTTTGCTTCCGCTTTGGGAATCAAACAAAAGGGGGCAAACTTTTATATTCCTTCTGAGCGATTTCCATTCGGTTTTCCATTCTGATTTCGATTTTCGATTTGCTAAAAGGTTTGCCCAGGCAAACAACTGTTTTGTTTATTTGTCAGCCAGCAGCCAGCCTCCCAATATTCAAATCGGTTATGGATTCCCTTTAGTTATTCCGAGAGCGTTCCTTGTTTGATTTGTGTTTCCTGGGGATTTCCAAAAAGAGATTGTGTGTATTTCTCTTGATTGCCTGAATTATTGATAAAATACATGATTCAGCTAATTTAATTGTCCGGTTTTTTTGTGGGGGGGAAATCTCGGGGGAGAAGAAAAGCATTTTGAATATTTTTTAGGGGAGATTTTTATATAAAAAAAGGGTTAAAAGTACTTTATAATTTGTATATTTTATAGATTTTCCAGGTTTTTTTTTAGATTTTTTTTAGATTTTCTAGATTTTTTAGATTTTCTAGATTTTCTAGATTTTCTAGATTTTATAGATTTTATAGATTTTTTATTTTATTTAATTAATTACTTTAAAAGCAAAACTTTTCATTTTAAAAATATAAAAACACTCATAAATATCTAACATAAATTTCCCTAATAGCCAAACCCTTTAATATAATTTTCCTTTAGCTAAAAAAAGCATCTTCATGGCTCACAGATAGGGGATGAAAATTGTTATAGTTTTTGGAATTAACCCCGAGACGCCCTCATATTTTTGGGAAGTTGTAACGACTGCTGGCCCGCTTTATAATCACTTCCATGACGAGTTCTCCAAAGATCCTATCTCTGCTAAGCTCCCATGGCCATCAATGATCTCAGAGGAGCCTGTTTATGCCATGTTTATGCTGGCCCCCCTTTTTAATGGTTTTATTTTTGCGCATATTTCCAATTCGTAAAACTCGCTCGAACTTTTGCCATATATATTTTTTTTCTTGCCATTTTCCCCATTTTCCTATTTTCCACTTTTTTCCCTCATGGTCACATTGTGACCCACATAAGCCCAAGAAGAAGTATGGGTCCAGGGGTCAGGGGTCAGGGGATGTGTGTCTCTGAAAGGCAAAGAAAACCCATTCATTGGCATATTTCTCGCCGCTGGCAGCATGTTCTACATGCCTAATGCCCCCTAAGTGGGTTATCCAAGTTAGAAAATGTGACTGGAAAATGCGGGTAAAACCAGGAGGAGGGGGGGAGAGTTACTAAATCGGATTAGCAGCTCAAATGTAAACCAATAATCACAAAATATGTGCCAAAATGTGCTCAATTGAGGCGGCGGCAAAGCAATTAAAATGCATTTGAAACCAACATAAATCCCATTAAGCTGCTATTTTTTATCTCTCACCTGGTATTTACAGGTGAATTTGAATTAAATATCATTTAAATGTGTAAAGTTTTAATATATATTTGCAGTTTTCCAATGACTTAATTTATGTTCATTGCTGTCGCTGCAAATTTATTTGTTTTAGTTTACAAATCCCTCCAGCACCTCCCCCACCTCATCAATAATGCAATTCAAACACAATTGAATGAATTATTAAATTAGTTCCAGCTATTTTGCAGCGGATTAAAAGTGTTTGGGGAAAATGGTACCAGGAAAAGCGACGGGAGGGTGAGAAAATAACCAAACGGAATAATCAAGTTGCCATTGATTGTTGGCTGTCAATCAACGCGAAATCGAATGTCGCGGGGGGTTTTTCTTTTTTGAAAAACATGCAAAGTGCAGTAGCGGAACAGAACGGAACGAAATGGAACCAGGCGAAATGGAATGAAACGGAAGAGGAAACGCGCATCAGCTGCAATGGCTGAAAGCAAAGCGGAAATAACTCGTTAGCTCTGCTCCTTGCGCTCCTTTGGCTCCTTCTCTCTTTTTAATTAGCCTTCGTTGAAGCTCTTACCGCTCGTCGATGGGAAATCCGTTGGGAAATTTCACTTGACTCGACTCCATGCCGCGCACGTTGTCTGTCAGTGAGAGCCAAGCCATCGTTTTCCACGCTTTTCCAGAGAGAAAAATTAGTACTCCTAGGAGTTTTTTACTTTTTTTTATTCTTTTTAAAAATCTACATTAATTTTAAGGGCTTTTTTCTATTCTTTTAAAAATCTACATTAATTTTAAGGGCTTAAAAAATTAATCTCTTTCTTTTTTCTAAATTGAAATAATAGTAAATATTTTTTAACCATAATTTTCCTTCCCATTTCTTCTTTCTAAATTGAAAAATAACATTTTCTCGTTATATATATTAGCCTTAAATTATCAATAAGAGTCAAGCCATAATTTTCCAAGCTTTTCCAGAGAGAAAAATTACTACTCCTTAGAGGTTTCTATTTGTTAAAATTATTTTCCAACTCTACATTAATTTAAAGTGCTCAAAAAACCTTAAAGACTAAGCTTTTTCTTTATTCTAAATCGAAAAACGAACACTTTCTAGTCATAATTTTCTCTCCGTGTACATTTCCAACTTTATTTGCTTGCTTGTTTTGTGGAAAATGCCAATTGCATTCACAAGTTTTGCATTTTTGAGGGCAATCCATATATGCGAATTACCATAAACCTTTTTTTTTGAGGGGAGAGGGAAAGAGGGGGAAAAGCGCAGAGGAAAAGCAATTTCCGCAATTGAATTTCGAGAGCAAGGTAACCGCAATTTCTACTTCATATTTTAGAATGTTCTGCTCTTAATAATAATTTAGTTTTAGGCACTCATCAAGCTAATGTGGTGCAATCCTTGCCTCTTTCTAGTCTGTGTAATCCCCTTGAAATGAACCCAAAACTCTGCCAGGACTCTGTCTTAGGGTGAGTAGTAGCTACTCGTTTGGGAAAAACTCAATTTCCAACAGCGATTAGGCTTTCCACTTTCCACAGAAGGCAGCTGGCCATGGCTTTCCTTTTAATTAAGTTAGGTGTTTCGTCTCTCACTTACTCTAATTAAAGAGGCTTTTCTTTTGACACAGGCTCTTGCTTTGATTCTGATTCTCTCTCTGTTTCTGTCTCTGTCTCTGTTTCTGATCTGTTTTCCATTTCTGCCTCACTTTTCCCGCAGAGACATTAGCCGCCATCTTTGATCCATTACTACGTGAGCTTCTCCTTCGCCACGATGATGGAAAACTTTAACTAGGACAAGGCAGATGCGAATCTCACTTTGCAGAACACAACACCCACACGTAACAGAGGCCTGCACAGCACTGAGAGAAACTGCTTAAATACATAAAATATATTTCTAAAAATATTTAAAAATATTGCAGTCGAAATATATTCTAAATTATTGATTTCAAGTTAGGCTTTTAACTTGAAATTCCTTTAAAAATTCCTAAGCTCACCCACTTTTCTCTCTGTGCACACACGTACACTCTCTTGCACGCGCCCACACTTATGCATAGTCAAGTCATCATCATAAAGCGATTAGTGGAACTAAAACTGCCATTAAAATGCCTCGGCTTCCGCCTCACCCCCACACACACCCCACACCCTGTCTTGCTTTTTCTTTGGCCAGGCTCCAAGGACATCCCCGGGCGGGCAACCTAAATGAATTTCCAATAATAAAGTGTGGGTAAACCTGAGTTCCCACCGAAAGACAGAGTAATTGATGGAAGAGTCTATGGTTTTTAGAGAGGGGAATCCTGGGAAATTCCACAATAAATCCTTACAAATTCATAGTTCTTAGATTTTTTTGTAGGAAAACCCCCTTAAACTATCATTTCAAGTGGTTCTCCTCCCAAAAAACACCCAAAGTGTTGAGGCTTTCAAGTAATTAATGAACCCATTTTCCCTTCAAACATTTTCTTCTACGATTTTCCTTTTGTTTTTCCAAAAATCGGTTGCTGCAAGGTCACCATTGAGGAGCTGCACCAGGCCAGGCATTTTGTGGATGCCATTTTCGCACCATTTTCCACATGGCCCCCCTCTGGCCACGCCCACTTGGCCGTTTTACAGAACTTACAGTGTTTTCCCAAGGCCCACAGCAATGACACAGAAAAAAAAAGGAAAACATCAGCCAGAAAAACTAGAAAAAAACAAGAAGAAAAGTCGATCAAATAGAACGATGTCGGCGGAAAAGCTAGCCAAGAGCAGGGGGCACCAATGGTGGCTTTTGTAGATGAACTTAATTGTACTTTTTACCAAGAGCAAAAAAAAAACTGAAATGGGAAATGGGAAATGCCCCTTGAGCGTGGGAAAATGGGGGCGGGACTGGGCCTCAGGGTGCGTGTGTGTGTGTGTGTGTGTGTGTGCCTTCGAATGGCTTAAGTAATTTTCCATTTTCCATTTAGGCTACGCTTCCCCCTCTTCCCCTCTGCTGGAATTTTTGTCTTTTGGCTTTCATTTTCTTTTCTTTTTTTTTAATGTTTGTTTTCCTTGGCTTCGGCTGCTCTTTAACTTTTCTTCTTTTTCTTTTTTTGCTTTTCATTGCAATGAATAAATTTCAGAGCCCGAAGCTAGAGAAGAAAAAGTCACATAATTAATTCACCGAAATAATAATAAATGAAAATGTAGAGGAATGTACCAAAAAAAAACACATAATGTCACTTTCGCCCGAGAGTTCCTTTCACGCCAAACTTGTAGACTTAATCATTTGCCATCGTTTAGGGGATAAGACTTGGCTTTTCCGAGATAGGAAACTTCCCAGACATGTTGAATTAGTAGTTCACATACGCTTTTCCCTGTGCCCAGTCGTCGTCGTCGCTTAAAGCGTTTAGAGTTTTCCCAAAGCGAAAACTTTTT